AATACATACATACATATATATATATATATATATATATATACACACACACACACACACTAGATTCGTCCAGTCCCGTGCTTTACATAGTTAATTTTAGTGTCCTATTTCACCGTAACAACACAACCAAATTAATTTTATGTTGGTTTTAGTGTCGCCTATTTCATCGCAACAATACAACCGAATCAATTTAACTATATGGGTAGAACATGACATTGTCATATACCTGTACGAAAACGTAAGTTCATATACCTTTAAATAATAATTATCATTTTATTTAAAATAGGCTACGTATCACAAATACATGATTGGGTAAGTGATAATACACAAATACATGATTGGATAAGTGATGATAAGTGCATACAACCATTTCATGTCTATAAACATTATAGACAGAGAGACCAGTAAATGTCTTGTAGGTGATATATTGCTATCTTATTAACATTCTCGAGTCCTATATCATCAATAAATTCACTTCATAAATAATCAATATCAGTGAATTTGAAAGAACACATACATGTTTCTCAACAAAAGAAGATGACATACAAGTATCAGTAAAATTATCCTTACAATGCTCAATTAACTCTAAGAGGTGCAAACATCAATTAAAAACTAATTCATACATCACCTCTTATTATATAATTAACTGATAATATGAATGTTGGTGTAAATAAGATTTCAGAGAAACACATGATTATTGAAATACATTTTTTATATATAGCTAAAGCTTATTCAAGCCATGGTACCCCGAAATATAAGGGATAACATTCAAATTTGATACATGTGAGAGTTAACACATGGTTGACACAAACATACTTGTTTGGTTTCTACAACTGTGCATGAATTTCCTTAGTTTTCATTAGCTTCTTATTTGTAGCAGTACTTCATAATGGTCTCTTCCTTAGATAATGTCATGACAAACCCAACAACACCAACTACTACCATCTGACCATCCATCTCAAATGTTTTTCTCTTGTGGAGTTTTACAGTTCAACAAATAAGATGTCAAAATCAATATTTAGCATAAAAATAGTAGTATCTCCCCCGAGTGAAAGGTAGTAGGAAAACTCTAGCAACCCCGAGTCTAAATAATAAATGTATGTCGAAAGCGTGAATACATAACTGAAATGTTATAAATAAAAGGGTGAATTTACTTGATACATGTTTTTCAACTTCTCTCACAATGTGGGTTATTCAAACCTTATAATCCAAGAAGGAAAGTAATCTTGCACGGTTTGCCTGTATCATCATTAGGCACTAAAATAAATTGAAAAGGCAAATGAAAAAAAAGATAATGTATAAAAAAAGACTTGAAATATTTACTAAAATATAGTAGGTGTTGATATTGCAGAGAAGCTAAATTGCCAGATAAAAAAGGAGGTGGTTGCAAATAATAAAAATATACGCAAGTTAAAAAGTGATAGATTCAAGAACTGAACCATCTAATATCGATACATTTTTTTTCTTTAAGGTACGCAAGTAGCTATGAATTCGGGTCTCTATATAGAACCATAACTCACTGGTATTTCTTGCAAGATTATCCTGTTTCTAATTTTCTTTTCCTTTCTGTTATTCATCATTAATATGGAAAGCAAGAAAAATAATGAGATCTACAATATTTTTCAGAAGATTACAGATAAAGACGATCTTTATGTACCTGCTCACAACAATACAACTAATGTCCCGCATCCACAACATCATCATGGGGTGAGATCACCACAACCTAAGATTTGGCAGAGTCAATTATAATGTAAAATATTCTGGCTTTCCTCCTCTTGAGCAGATTTATTATAGATTATATAAGAAAACTTGCAATAATCCATTTTCAAAGAACAATCTCGATAGTTCCAAAAGTTATTAGCAAATTATATGAGAGATACTATATGCCTCCATCAGAAGTTTGACAAATACATAGATTCATACTAACATAATTCATATGATGGTAAGTTTCGAAAGGAAGAATTCAACAAAATTGTCTCTAATTGACACTGATTGTTCTTTCTATTTAAATTTGTGGCTTCTTTTGAACTACTTTTTCTGTGAAATTCATCTCATTAGAGTCAAGTGGTTGATGTCTCTCTCCTTATGGTTAAGTGGCATTCGACCAAAAAATTATGGGTCACTCAAATAGCCCCGAAAAATGTAACTCACAAGTAAAATAGAAGAATAAAAAATATAACTAAAAATATGAAAATATCATTAAGTCAAATCTATAGTACTTAAAATTAACACTCATACGTCTTTCATAAGTAAATTCAAAAAACCTAATTCAAGCTTCAAGACCTTGTAAAGTAAAACTAATCTATACACCATGAATTAATAACCATACTCTCGAATTATCAGCTCAAAGTATGTCTTACAGAAGCAGGTGATGAAATTTAGACTTGGACTTTTGACATTTTAATATGAGCAATGTTGATGACATTCATATAAATTACAATCAGGGAAATCCTTATCTTTGGTGTGTGTTTGTGATACTATAAAACTCTAGCTTCCCTTTGCTCTTTGGTTAATGTATTTCCAAGTTTGTGACTTCACACAGCAATGGAAGTCTATTTACACATTGTTTTTCTGTTTAACTGAGAAGTCATATGTTGTGCTTGCAAATTCCTAGAGCTAGAACTAAACTTACACTACACACACATTCATAATTTCTCAGTAACTAATCTTATTTCCTTTAAAATCTATGAAACAACATGACAACAAATTTGAAATAAAGTAGTCTACCATAAAAGCTAGCAATACTTGCAAGTGGTTAACATTAGTGTCCACCTGAACTTCATGTTAATCATCAATAGCATGGAAAATGGAACTCAAACAGGTCACTTTCTTCAATTTATTTTAACGGAAGAGAAGAGACGATGCACAAAGAAAAAGACGTCAAGAACCCTATAGCACCAGTTGCTAGCATAACAGCAAGCGCCATTAAAAGTGAGTAGCCTAAGTATAGCATAGCCGAAACAGGTCCACTGAGGCTCTTGAGATCAAAAACAAGATAGTTGACGGAGTAGAAGAATATGTAGATTGCAACTGAGCCAGACGCGAAGAATGATTTCCACCACCATCTCCAATCTTCCATACAAAGATGCAAATAAGTCAGGACCAAAGACACTTCAGCACAAACAACCACAACAAGTATCAATACTACCAACAGAAACCCGAAAACATACTAAACACGTCCGAGCCATATGCTAGACATGATGAAAAAGAGTTCAATAAACAGAGTTCCAAATGGCAGAGTTCCTGCTCCAGTTACCAACACCCAAGTAGGAAATCTATTTGATGGGATTTCACGAGGAATTTGATTGCTACGACAAGGGTATTCTCAAGGTGTGGAGCCTTTGTAGCGATGAATCCACCTATGAGTGTAAGAGGCATGGAAATGCAAAACCACAACAACAACAGAATAATGTATGTAGTGAAAGGAATTGCATCAGTGCTATGACTTCCCCATAAGACGAAATTAAGAACAGTTAGTATAAGAAATGAAATTCCAGGGCCAAAACAAGAAACTCTCAACGAAATGGAAAGCCATCCATTGGTATTACCAGCATTCAATGTTTTCATTAGCCAAACAGCAACATAGCCAGCAATAATACTCGCTCTAACGCTCGTTTAGTAGACAGCGAGTGGAGTGCATAAGCCCCTTTAGAGATAGGGGAATAAAATCAGTGTGGTCTCATAAATAGGCTCTAAGAGGGTAGAGCGTACGTAGACCTTATTCCTACCTTGAGAAGGTAAAAGATGAGGTTCCGATTACACGGTATGACGTTGCAAATAAAGAATTAAGTTTCAAACTTTAAACCATCTCACCATTTTTCATGACACAAGACAGACATTTGACTAAAAGGTTTCAACAGTACAAAAAAACTTCATTAAGAAGCGAGGAAGGGAAAATTAATTATTAGTTGACAACTTGACCATCTTTAGTGCTCAATTAAAGATCCATTTTTATGTAGGCATATTATCAAACACCCTTGGTGCACTAAGGTAACTTGAGTATTTATTCTGAAGATGCATGAACAAATCAGAAAATAATATTGACGTTCCTATATTTTTATAGAGAAAGTACAATAGAGAACAATAATGTAAAAGAATAAATACCAAAATTTGTTTCAGATGATGATTGTATGTCGAAATTTGAACAACGGTATCTCCATCTTCATCAACAACTTGTTTGGATGGTTGCTAAGTATTATTTTGTTTACAGTCATTTTCATCCAATTTTCCTTTCTACAAATGGATCACGAGAAATAGAAATGGTCACATCTGTCAACTTCATCTCATTATATTCTCTAAAAAATTAACTAATTGCACAAGATAAAATTGAAGCAAAAAATTAAGGAAGAAAAAAGTGAGAAACACTTGCCAGCAAATACAATTAACAAACTTTAATTTGAAAGAGTAAGTGAAAAAGAAAGTGAACTTCAAAGATCCATGTTAGCTGGTGAGTTGTTTTGAGTGCAAATACGCGTGTCAAGTGGAAAATAACAAAAAAATGACGTCCAATAAAATAAAGCCAAGTTTGTAGTACACTTCACATAGCTAATTGTAAAACATGTTATTGCCATGTTCATACATACCAAGTCCCATTTCTAAAGAAGGGAGACTCATATATATATATATATATA